TTTGTATCAGGTAGGTATCTCATATCTATGACACTGTTATATCTGGTAGGTATCTCACATCTATGACACTGTTATATCTGGTAGGTATCTCATATCTATGACACTGTTATATCTGGTAGGTATCTCATATCTATGACACTGTTATATCTGGTAGGTATCTCACATCTATGACACCGTTGTATGAGGTAGGTATCTCATATCTATGACACTGTTATATCAGGTAGGTATCTCACATCTATGACACCTGTTATATCTGGTAGGTATCTCACATCTATGACACTGTTATATCTGGTAGGTATCCCACATCTATGACACTGTTATATCTGGTAGGTATCTCACATCTATGACACTGTTATATCTGGTAGGTATCTCACATCTATGACACCTTTGTATCAGGTAGGTATCTCACATCTATGACACTGTTATATCTGGTAGGTATCTCACATCTATGACACTGTTATTTCTGGTAGGTATCTCATATCTATGACACTGTTATATCTGGTAGGTATCTCACATCTATGACACCTTTGTATCAGGTAGGTATCTCACATCTATGACACTGTTATATCTGGTAGGTATCCCACATCTATGACACTGTTATATCTGGTAGGTATCTCATATCTATGACACTGTTATATCTGGTAGGTATCTCACATCTATGACACCTGTCAGGTATCTGGTATGAGGTATCTCACATCTATGACACTGTTATATCTGGTAGGTATCTCATATCTATGACACTGTTATATCTGGTAGGTATCTCACATCTATGACACCGTTATATCTGGTAGGTATCTCACATCTATGACACTGTTATATCTGGTAGGTATCTCACATCTATGACACTGTTATTTCTGGTAGGTATCCCATATCTATGACACTGTTATATCTGGTAGGTATCTCACATCTATGACACCTTTGTATCAGGTAGGTATCTCACATCTATGACACTGTTATATCTGGTAGGTATCCCATATCTATGACACTGTTATTTCTGGTAGGTATCTCACATCTATGACACCTTTGTATCAGGTAGGTATCTCACATCTATGACACTGTTATATGTGGTAGGTATCTCACATCTATGACACTGTTGTTTCTGGTAGGTATCCCATATCTATGACACTGTTATATCTGGTAGGTATCTCACATCTATGACACTGTTATATCTGGTAGGTATCCCATATCTATGACACTGTTATTTCTGGTAGGTATCTCACATCTATGACACTGTTATATCAGGTAGGTATCTCACATCTATGACACTGTTATATCTGGTAGGTATCTCACATCTATGACACTGTTGTTTATCTGGTAGGTATCCCATATCTATGACACTGTTATATCTGGTAGGTATCTCACATCTATGACACACCTTGTATCAGATTGTATCTATGACACTGTTATATCTGGTAGGTATCTCACATCTATGACACTGTTATATCTGGTAGGTATCTCACATCTATGACTGTGTACTGTTGTTATCTGGTAGGTATCCCATATCTATGACACTGTTATATCTGGTATCTGGGTATCTCACATCTATGACACTGTTGTATCAGGTAGGTATCTCACATCTATGACACTGTTATCTAGGATCTCATATCTATGACACTGTTATATCTGGTAGGTATCCCATATCTATGACACTGTTATTTCTGGTAGGTATCTCACATCTATGACACATTTGTATCAGGTAGGTATCTCACATCTATGACACTGTTATTTCTGGTAGGTATCCATCTATGACACTGTTATTTCTGGTAGGTATCTCACATCTATGACACTGTTGTATCAGGTATGGTATCTCATAGGTATCTATATCTGACACTGTATTTCTGGTAGGTATCTATGACACTGTTATTTCTGGTAGGTATCTCACATCTATGACACCTTTGTATCAGGTAGGTATCTCACATCTATGACACTGTTATATCTGGTAGGTATCTCACATCTATGACACTGTTGTTTCTGGTAGGTCACATCCCATATCTATGACACTGTTATATCTGGTAGGTATCTCACACTGTTGTATATGTACATCTATGACACTGTTATATCTGTTATAGGTATCTCACATCTATGACACTGTTATATCTGGTGGGTATCTCATAATCTCATACACTATGACACTGTTATATCTGGTAGGTATCCCATATCTATGACACTGTTATATCTGGTAGGTATCTCATATCTATGACACTGTTATATCTGGTAGGTATCTCATATCTATGATACTGTTATATCAGGTAGGTATCCCATATCTATGACACTGTTATTTCTGGTAGGTATCCCATATCTATGACACTGTTATATCTGGTAGGTATCTCATATCTATGACACTGTTATATCTGGTAGGTATCCCATATTTATGACACTGTTATATCTTGTAGGTGTATGCGTGGTAGTTATCGTATCGATTAGAGATCGTATCGATAATCGCAGTTGTGTTTGTTTATTGAACATAGGTGTGATTGATTCCATGTGTACGCCTGAGTGAGACATCTCCAGGGCATGGCTGTGACGTGAGTTCGACGCTCATTAATTATAGTCACATCCGGTCCCCCTGACATAGGCGATTTGTACAGGAGTGCTGTTTGCCGAGCGACGCCGTGACCTCTCACCTTCCTTTGAATACATACACGGGGTTACGCTGGGCCAGTATCCAGAAGTCCCGTGCCTTGATAAGCCAATAAACCAATATCGTAAATAAGAAAAATGTCTTTTGAATTTAAAGACATACGCGTGATGGTAAGTTCTAAACATGTTTAGAAAGGGCACTATTGTAACATTCTCAACTTGTTTAGATTTTAAACAGGCTTAAATATAGCGTATATAAGTAAGATATGGAGAAGATGTATGATATATACCTATATTGGGTATGCAAGTCAGGTTCATACGCACGTGCTCAAGCATATGTAACACCGGGACTGACTACATTGGTACAATACTGGCATACAGATATTCAAACACATCAAGGTAATGTTATGGTGATAGCTGACATTTGTGAAAACAGTCCCTTAGCACAGTAGGTATCGTAAAGGGCTACATATGAAAGGCTGCAGGTTCATATGGCGACTGGCCTTGTTAAGATGTGTTGTATAACTAGTAGTATTATATCATACAGGAAACAGAAGCGAACTGTGAAAGTGTGACTACTGTGATACACCCTACACACTTTTACGCCTCCCGCACCCCCTACTCTATACTTCCGTATCCCACTGAACGCTGAAAACCCCATATTTAAAGCAATCTAAGAATACACTACGTAAAAAGGATCCTACATTTAGGGCCTAACACATTTACAGAGGTTAGTTAGCCACCCCTCACCCCCACCCCACCCCGAACATGTTCAGACATACACGCATCACAATCATAGTTCAAGGAACGTCTTCAGATTTGTGTTCAGAATCTAAACACACTTTTTATTTTATATATATATACATATATCACAAGAGGTTAAGAGGGGTCAATATCTATAAGTCATGTGTGTTCATATACTATTCACACTTTGCTGTAGATCAAATCATTGATTCAACAGAAAGCTATGATGTGGGGTCTAATTTGGTTTAAATATCTAAGCTTATTGTGAGCATGGATCCTAGGTTTCAGCTTGTCATTTGGTCTTGTGGAACCCATACCTGCTATTGACAAGTGTTGTGTACTTGTCAATGAATCGTTCCATGATTTGCAAAATGGTTTATTGGTGCCATGAAAACCATTTTTATGTTTACTCACATATCAGTGCATAAGGTTAGATTAAAGTGGCTGTTTGCCTCAAGAGATGTTACCATATCATTATTTATCCAGTTTTAAATGAAACAATTTCAAACTATAATTCTATGTTTAAGTAAAGTTGGGAATTTTTGTGATCCTTAGCAAAGTGTGAGTAGTATATATATGTTGTTTCCTGAGTCTTATGTCGCATGACCTGCTTCATTTATAGAATCAAACCCAACTCACTCACTCACTCAGGCACTCTTTATAGAGTCTACACAGTACAGAAACATCGGGGGGAATGTTCAGATTTCCCAGTACAACTTCATCAACAATTACCAAATTCTACATCTGATTCATAAACAAAATCGAAATAAACCTGACAGTATAATTACATATGATTTTAAACTATTTAAACACACTGTTTAAACTGCACGACTTTGTATATAATGTCACTATAGACTAGTATCCTGGCGTACTGCCATGGCATCGTCATTGTAAGGAATATACTTCAGGAATATTCCTCTGTAGATCAACATACATAGCGAACAGATTTGGTTCAACGAGACAAGATCCAGCCCAGGGCACAGCATACAAGATGAAGCAGAAATGTACCCTCGGTACATATTGTCTCTTTGGGAAATTTATGAGAACAATTTACTAAACAATTAAAAAGAAACGATATTCCTCAACGATGATAAACATATGGGCTTCTCCATACTGCCTATTTCTGAGAATGTTTTCGGCAACAGGATAAGAATCGATATGTTTGTCTGTGCACGGCACCTCATTCATCTGTGCGGCTGGGTCCAGGACGGGTCTAGTTGTAGTGCAGGGACGGCCGCTCCCCACCACATAGTCTGTCTCACAGTCCCTGAACCACATTAATTTCCCTGCTGCCAAGCCCTCTCTGCCGTGCTTAAGCCCTAAATAAAGCAAGTCTAGATTTCCTCAGGTTCTAAATCTCTGGTCCTTCTAGGGCTCCTTTTCAATATAAATAGGCTTGTTTGTTACTATCAAAATTATATATATTCAGAGACTAAGCCTTAGTCTACCCACCACACCGCAGACACAGTATCAGGCTACGTCAACCACTCACGTGGCAAGTGCAACACAGGTTTACCCCTCCTTGAAACTAGGGTTCACGGGAAACGAAAGTCATTCGTTAATATGCGGACATTGTCGACAAGCCGTTGTCGTGACGAGCCTACAAGGGATGGTGTTGCACGCCGTCCCTGCACAGCACAGCTGACTCACCAACTGTCCCCCATGGCGTTCGGGCAGGGGGAGACAGAGTTGGTAAAAACGATACAATTTGAAAGCTGGAGTCAAACTTTTCATATTTTCAATTGTATTATGATGTGTACAATGTCCATACTATTATGTGGAAAGAATTCATACTATAATGAGAAAAGCATCTGTACTATAACGTGAAAAGTAGCTTAATTTGATGTAACGTTAAACGTATGCATACTATGATGTGAAAAGTTGTTTACTATAACGTGAAAAGTAGCTTTGCTATACGTGAAAAGTATACACTGTAATGTAAAAAGTATTCTCTGTAATGTAAAAAGTATACACTGTAATGTAAAAAGTATATACTGTAATGTAAAAAGTATTCACTGTAATGTAAAAAGTATACACTGTAATGTAAAAAGTATACACTGTAATGTAAAAAGTAAAAGTATACACTGTAATGTAAAAGTATTCTGTAATGTAAAAAAGTACTGTAATGTAAAAAGTATTCACTGTAATGTAAAAGTATTCACTGTAATGTAAAAAAAAGTATACACTGTAATGTAAAATGTAAAAGTATACACTGTAATGTAAAAAGTATACACACTGTAATGTAAAAAGTATACACTGTAAGTATACACTGTAATGTAAAAGTATACACTGTAATGTAAAAAGTATTCACTGTAATGTAAAAAGTATACACTGTAATGTAAAAGTATATAAAAGTATACACTGTAATGTGTAATGTAAAAGTATACACTGTAATGTAAAAGTATTCACTGTAATGTAAAAACTGTATAGTATTCACTGTAATGTAAAAAGTATTCACTGTAATGTAAAAAGTATACACTGTAATGTAAAAAGTATACACTGTAATGTAAAAAGTATTCACTGTAATGTAAAAAGTATTCACTGTAATGTAAAAAGTATACACTGTAATGTAAAAAAAGTAAAATACACTGTAATGTAAAAAAAGTATTCACTGTAATGTAAAAAGTATACACTGTAATGTAAAAAGTATACACTGTAATGTAAAAAGTATACACTGTAATGTAAAAAGTATACACTGTAATGTAAAAAGTATACACTGTAATGTAAAAAGTATTCACTGTAATGTAAAAAGTATACACTGTAATGTAAAAAGTATTCTCTGTAATGTAAAAAGTATACACTGTAATGTAAAAAGTATACACTGTAATGTAAAAAGTATTCACTGTAATGTAAAAAGTATTCACTGTAATGTAAAAAGTATTCAAACTAGAATGTGAGAAGTATTCCAACTGTTCGTATTTCCATTGTCTCCACAAATTGATTGACAATGCGCGTGTCGGTATTAGCCACATCTTCCTTCATTCGTCCTGAGAGCAGTCATGGACCGGCCGCAGGGGTATCACTGCCTGAAAAGTGAATTTCAGATGAAAAGAGATTCATAGTGTCGCCTGTCAGGTACAACGATTTGGGGGCCAAGGGATAAATGTTCACTCCAACTACACCCAGAAACGATGGTCGATATGGACACGCTTGTAATATCTCATATCACAATCACTCACATGCGAGTAGAATCATTTCTAAAGTCAGGGCCATGGGTACCCATTATACAACGTTACAATCAACATCTGGTGGTGGGGAATAATGCAATGTGCATACTGTGGTCTGGCCCTGGACTCTGGGTCCAACATGCATGTCCAGCAGTTTCCTTAGTCTGTCTCAGTCCCTGAACCACATTATTTTCCCTACAGCCTAGCCTTCCCTGTAGTGCTAAAGCCCTAAACGAAGCAAGTCTAGATTTCCCCAGGTTCAGGAATCTGAATCTCTGGTCTCCCTAGGGCTCCTTTTCAATTTAAATGGGCTTGTTTGTTACTATCAAAATTATATATATTCAGAGACTTAGCCTCAGTCTACAGTTTCCTGTACGTGTACGGCCACAGTGCGGACAGTGTGAAGTGACCGTTCACAAGCTGCGCCTGTGTCCGTGGTTAAAACATTCCAGTCTGACCGGTAGCCCGGTGAAACGTTTGCTATGAACTAGCTCGACAACAATGGTTTAATTGGACAGAGGAAAATAACAAAATGTGAAATACAACTATGATTTGCTACGTTTCACAGCCTCCGCCTGAATGCCACACGAGCCTGTCAGTTTTACGGTAGTCAATAGATTCGTTTGTTCGGGATCTCACAGAACAGTTTGTATTTAGATCATTTACAGTGCAGATTGGAGCACACGGAAAAACGGGCACAAAACATTTAATTCAAACAGCAGAGCTGATATGTTTAATCCCAGAGCCTGACGGAGCATCAGTTGTTTCAGCAGTCGTCAGATCAGCACGCGTCTTCAATCAGAGTTTAAAGTCCTGTCTAAATTCAGGGTTTGAAATGGGATCCACCTACTGCACGAGTGCCCCGCCTTGTATTGTGACATGTATTTGAAGTTCCTGCAGACGACAGCAAACCTAATGGCCGAACAGACGTGGGGGATGTCGGCCCCTCTCACCGCTCAGTGCTGGGGTAGATGGCTCTCAAAGATCAAGTGTAAGGTCAAGAACCATTACGTGATCAAGCCATACACCTGGAATTGTATGTAAAAGGAATAGATGTAGGATGCAATTTCAGCTCTTTGATCTCAAATAACCTGTCGCCAGTGACGTCACGAACATCTGAATAATGATACGGTCTGAGAAGCTACGTGGACAGGACGGGCAAAATGGGGACTGTGTGCTATAGGGATGACTCCGGGATACAGGTAATAGTCTGGCATTTTCCACGAGCGAATTAATCTACCAACGATAGGGAAGCTGTTATCCGCAGGCAGTTTCCCATAACCAGTAACACCTGACACTGTTCCTTGATTAATGGCAAGTGCATGCAACTCGGCCGCCTTATCTCGCGGTGTGCTGGAGAAGGAAGCTAATACTTTGACATGTGGACATAATCTGCCATTCGACCTCAACAGCAACTTCCTGAGCGACTTGTTTGTAAAATACGTGTCACGTGACCCAATCAAGGAGTTATCAATGTCAATCAATCAATCAATTCCGCGTGACATTTGAAGTCTAAATGTGTCTCGCTGGCCTCGCCCTCTGTAAATGGCTGTACATCCTGTCCGGGGAGAAAACTAAGAATCAATAATGGAACAGATTAACTTCACATATCCAGGCTAGGACATATTCTACCAACAAATGTATGATACAACCTCGAAGAGAAGTTGATATCTAATAAAGCCATTTTGTTGTAGTTACAAAATAGTTTTGTCCGAGCAAACAAGTGTCAATTTGGCAATAGCCAAGACAAAGTCAGCCATGGCCTGAAGTCCAATACTTGTGCCACAAGACGTGTGGGGGACATGTCGTGTTTGTCCCCATGTCCAGTAATGTTCATTAGTCAAGGATGTCAGTGAATCAGGTATATATCGCCACAGGGATCTGAAACAAATATATCCAAGAAAGCCTGTGCAAGTCTAGAATATTTTGCGTCTAGGAGAAAGTTTCTGAGCTCCTTGTCATGCTTTATTAAGAAATTCCTTTTCTGTAAAATGTGTTCAGAGACTCAAAGCCATGTTGGCGCAGCTACTAGTGAGGCTTAGGTGTGCAGTCATGTCTGATTGCATGCTTTGTTGAACGGTTGGATTAAGCCATGGTGTCGACCAGAGAAGGGATTTGCTGTTCAGATTAAACCAGGTGGAATTTTGCTGAAAATACAAGCCGATTATTCAGGGGGAGGGGTCAGCTTATGTAATATACACACCAGACATGTTTTGTCATGTCAGGTGTTTTGAGAATGGCGAGTGATAGACATGTGTGAATCTGGGGCCACTCAGCAGTTGGTTGGAACCCGTTATGAATGTCACATTCGCTGGTGTACAGACTTCACGTCCAGCCTCTCACACAGGGCAACCATCTCAACGTCAGCTCGAGACCAGGATGTCCTTTCTTTACTCGACAATGATAATACGATCAGCAAACAATTTAAATAATATGTGACTGTCACACACACACACACATGGACGTTGCCAAGTCACGTTCGTGTCCCTGTTCATTGTGTCCATCCCATGCAGCGTTCACGCATCACGTGCTTTGACTCGACATGCGCAGTTCCATGGAGCATGATGGTCGACATTCCAACATTCACTTGTATGTTAGTAAGTGGATTATGCTCAAGTGGCGCACAATGTACAACGAATTGTGCGTTTAACGCTTTGAGATATAAATAGATGTGTGACGTCAAGAAAGTTAATATTGAGGATGTCCTGAAAAGCATGACGAAATGAGAGGGGGAGCCTTTTTAAGGGGCTCTGGCGGGGTGCATCTGGGAGACCGGGGTGTTAGTTGACTGAACACAATGATCTGTTACACGCAAAATAACTAATTGTGGTGGTTTTCGACGCTGCGTCTTATATTGCTTGAAATGCAGTTTCAAATTTGAGAACAAAAACGAAACCATTGTTCACATTTGTATTCACCTCCTTTTCCTCCTCACACCCTGGAAATTCCACACGGTTATGCCGATCACGTCGTGTGGCCTGATCAACGAAACTAGATCCCGGATACGTCACGCCAGTGCCCGTGTCTAGCACTCTAATGAGATTACCGAGAATTAGATACACAAAAAAGGTTCGACTGGATGTATTATATTTATATGTGCTTTATGTCAGTATATGAAGTAGGAGGTACCAGTGTTGGGAATGTGCATCACCGAGGCAGCAAATCTTTAACACATTGACATTTATTCAGATAGCCTTTATCTGTTTATGATGGGGTACCCATCAATGCATCTCCCTCTCTCGCTCTCCTCTGTGTGTTCGTGTGTGCGTGTGTGTTTTACATGAACCCTTTTACAGGTGAGCGTTTTCGGCTCAAACGAGATTCCATATATACTCTCCCAAAACGTAGGAATCATTAAATATATAAGTTGTGATCTCAATAAAAGGACCTGCTTGGTAAAATGACTGCCAGGGAAACAGGGAAAGAATGGTTTCGGAACCAAAATGGAACGTCGGAAAACCCGAAACATTGCACCTGGACAAGGCAATTCTTACGTTGGTAGGGTTTCAATCCTCATTGAAAGATCGTCAACGTCAAATCGATGAGTCACTATTACTATTCGTTTTCCTTATCCATAGTAAGACTATTCAAGTTGTGTGTGAGTGTGAGTGAGTGAGTGAGTGAGTGTGTGTGTGTGTGTGTGTGTGTGTGTGAGAGAGAGAGAGAGAGAGGAGGGTAGGAGGGTGGTAAGGCAAGACTTTCTCAAATTGTCATCGGGAGATAAGTCTTCAGCATCAACTGCTTGTGTCGAGAGTCGACTAGCGCGATCGGCTGGCCTGACTCGCTGACTGGATCTCATCATATTCCAAATGCGCAGATTAATGGTCATGATGTCAATCACGGTATTGTCTGGTCCAGGGTCCATTATTTACAGACCGCCGTCGTATAGCTGGCTGCGGCGTTAAACATTCCACGCCATATAAACGAATGTTTGACCAATCTTGAGATGACCCATTATTGATGAAGTCACCTCAAGAGTTGAGACCACGTTAGTTTCATAGCGATGTTTTCGATGCAGTTTCTTGCCCCTATATGGAGCGTCGGTATGTGCAATGAACCAGAGGTTGCTATCCAAGCTATATGTGTTCTTGTTCACATACCAACTTCTAGAATGCCAGCCAAACAGGTGCACACCCATGTCGCCGTTCTTGGCAGTTTGCACCCAACCAACACATTCTGTTGGTTGTCATGTTACACCCTGTCCTTCCTTTTTCTGATTCATCTCTAACCATTACACGACATCTTTTTGTATTTCTGTAAGCATCTGTTATTTTCGAATATCTTCTACTTTCTTGCAGATACATAACGGTTCATTTACACATAAAGTTTTTAGCACACATGACAGAACAACACAGGCACCTAGGGCCCTTCAAGGTAGAATGGCACAGAAAAGTAGTGTTCCATGGCAGAACTAGACAAAGCCCTATTGGTTCCATGGCAGCACGACTGACAACTGGTAGTTCCATAATGTAACTACACAGACACCTGGCGGTCTCCATTGAAAACAATTAGTGGTCCTGAACGACACAAATAGTGGCACCAGGGTAAACTGACAGAAACAACTAGTAGATCCGTGGTAGAACCACAGACAATTTGTGGCTCTGTGGTGGAATGACACAAATAGTGGCTGCGCGGTAAACCGACAGAAACAACTAGTAGATCCGTGGTAGAACCACTGCCATTTTTCTGGCTCTGTGGTGGAACGACACAAATAGTGGCTGCACTGACAATTAGTGGCTCTGTGGTGGAACGACACAAATAGTGGCTGCATTGACAATCAGTGGTTCTGTGGTGGAACGACACAAATAGTGGGTTGAACTGCACAAAACAAGAGTGGCTGCGTAGTCGATTGACGAAGGCAGCTAGCAGATCCATGGCAGAACAACAGACGAACTTGTGGCTCAATGATAGAATGACACAAACTCCATGGTAGAACCAAACCTTTTAGCGTTAATAACCCAAATCCTACGTTTCTTCTCACTCGCATACGGATTGACAAACTGCTACATTAATGACATGAAGTGGGTTAGGCTGGCGGATTATCTTGTTAAAATATGCTGCTACTGCTGCAGCTGCAGCGTGGAAACGTATCCTGCCTGATAGCAGAGTGTAAACTAACCATAGACAAAGACGTGTGAATCTGTTCAGCAGATATGCACTTTAAAACTATTTTGTCCACTGATGAGAAAACAATGGATCTGTTTAGTGCGTTCAATACGTGTGTTTAAAGAGTCCAGTAGTTGGTATTTGGCTAGAGTTCTCTACACACTCTGAATCAACACTTAGCCTCAGGTAGACGCTCCGACTCCAGCCAGTGTCAGCACAGCACTGACCGATATCCACAAGAGTAACAGTTGAAATTGCCTGAGTGACTGGTATATTGCCAACAGGCATTCACTGGGGTGACAGTTAATATCGCCTGGCCACCAGTACAATATTTTCAATAGACATTCACGCTGGAAAAAGTATCGTCTGGGCTACTATGTTATATTACCAACAGACATTAACTACGGTGACATTTAGCCCACTACTGTACACTGCCATGAGAAATTCACTCCCAAACGCCACCCCCACGAAATTATCACATTTGGTAGTTTCTGGATCAATCACTTAACAACACCAGTGCAGCGGTTTCAATTTTTTATTCAAATTTGTACAGTAGATAAGACTTTCTGCAAAGATGACATAATAAGTTAGTGTTTACATGCAACATAGTCCACTCTGAAACTGCAGCAGCCAGCGGACCAACTCACTGACCTTGGGTAGTCTGTGGTGGCAGGAACTAAAGAGGAAGACAACTTACACTACATGCATGGATACTCAGCAGTGAAACATCGACACATACATGTACTATATGCATATGCATATGTATATGGATAGTTTAGATTCGCAGTCACTCATTTGTGAGGGCCTTCATCAAGGTTAGTTTGGATAGGGAATGGGGGGAGGAGAAAAAGAAGACAGGGTGGTGGATACATCTGGAGAGGTGGGGGAAGGGCTGGAACACGGCAGGTGTTGTTGCCAGTGAGAAGGCAGGGTGGTGGATACATCTGGAGAGGTGGGGGAAGGGCTGGGGGAAGGGCTGGGCACGGCAGGTGTTGTTGCCAGTGAGAAGGCAGGGTGGTGGATACATCTGGAGAGGAGGGGGAAGGGCTGGAACACGGCAGGTGTTGTTGCCAGTGAGAAGGCAGGGTGGTGGATACACCTGGAGAGGTGGGGGAAGGGCTGGGACACGGCAGGTGTTGTTGCCAGTGAGAAGGCAGGGTGGTGGATACATCTGGAGTGGAGGGGGAAGTGCGTGAGTGAGTGAGTTTGTTTTGACGCCACTTTTAGCAATATTCCAGCAAATATCAGGGGGACACCAGAAATGGGCTTCACACATTGTACCCATGTGGGGAATCGAACCCGGGTCTTCGGCGTGACGAGCGAACACTTTAGCCACTAGGCTACCCGACTGCCCCTGGAGGGGGAAGGGCTGGGACTCATGGCAGGTGTTGTTGCCAGTGAGAAGGCAGGGTGGTGGATACATCTGGAGTGGAAGGGGAAGGGCTGGGGTTGGAGCCACAGTGGATGGTTGTTGGATGCAGGTGAGAGTGTTGTGAGAACAGGTTTCTTAGGTTGTAGTGTTGCAGTACCAGCTAGGGATCAAAAGGGTAATTGAAACGGTCAGAGAGGATGTGGTAGTAACTGGCAACAGGTGTTTAAATTGGAGGCATTTGCCTTGTGCCCACACCCACATGGTATAGTGAAAATAAAATATTAGTGGTCTATCTAGTCTAGAACACAAATCACACTAAAAGCCATGTGAAACATGGGTTGGAGTGGCCCTTCTTTCAACATGAACAAGAGAACCCGTAGCATCAACATAAGATATCAACTAAAATATAACCCACTACAGTATCTAACCAAATCAACACAACATACAGCGTAATTACATTTTTACAACCATCATCCACAGCTCCACCCCAGTTTGCTATACATCATCAGAACCATCCTTTGGTTGAAATGTTTCATCCAGGGAGGTCTCAGTGAGCAGGGAGAGTGATTGGATCAGGTGCGTTTCTCCCATCATGCACTCTTCCTTCAAGGGAGGTCTCAGTGAGCAGGGAGAGTGATTCGATCAGGTGCATTTCTCCCATCATGCACTCTTCCTTCAAGAGAGGTCTCAGTGAGCTGGGAGAGTGATTGGATCAGGTGCATTTCTCCCATCATGCACTCTTCCTTCAAGGGAGGTCTCAGTGAGCAGGGAGAGTGATTGGATCAGGTGCATTTCTCCCATCATGCACTCTTCCTTCAAGGGAGGTCTCAGTGAGCAGGGAGAGTGATTGGATCAGGTGCGTTTCTCTCATCATGCACTCTTCCTTCAAGGGTGCTCCTGATGAAATATGGCAAGTTGGGGAACAGAGTTGTGCTTGCGTCATAACATCTATCTTGGCACATTTAGCATGTAGTTCAAAATGAAACAATATGGACAGATTCAATGGGAAATGTGCATCATCGCTATGACAATGAATGAAGTGAACTGCATCACACTGAAGTGAAAATTCAAACTAACACACAAACATATTTGTCAAATATAGTATAAATTGCATATATCAATATCCTCATTGTTATACTTGGTATTGGGACCTTAACATAGATATTAACCTTGAAGTTACATTCAAAATATATAATTTTTTACCTATTATTTCTCCAATACCATATTCTGCCAGGCAATATTGATGAATAACACCACACACTGTGTAACTGGATTTCAGGCCAAGGATATCAAGATATGCATCAGTAGCAAGGAAGGGTTACTGGACACTGCAGGATATTGCTTTTTTATGCCACTACAAAGTACATGGGGTGGGTTCTAATGAAATAAGAACAGTCAACATAGTAAACATGGTACACTCTAATTATTCATGTTTTCGCCATGGTGTTTATTTATCCAATTATTGCTATTTTCTGAATGGCACAAATATTCATATATTATATAGAAGTAACCAACATATTTATATTGCTGTGTTGTTGATCAGTATAACAAATACATCTTACAGACATTCCAAGAACACAGATCACTGGGAGTGTGCCTGAAGTTCCCCATCTGCATCTCCCAATGTTGTAGCTCTAATGATACCTGGGACTGGTTGCCTGGGCAGCCGGGGCATGGAAGCACAATGTTCTGTCCAAGTAGAACTGAAGTACCTTGACCAAAGGCTTGTCATAGTACTTTGGTAGTTTGTTCAGATGAATTGTTAGAATGAAATCTGAACATATAGAAATGAAATCTGAACATATAGAAATGAACACTGTTGAACACTGACAAAGGGGCAATGTTTTTGACCGAACACTTTGCCCACCACCCAGCGGTGTAATGTATTGATGACTCAGGCAACCAGTCCTTGTCCCTCTACATTAAGTCAAGCTACAAACCAGCAGGTACACATTTCACAAATACCTAAGAGACAATCTGGTTACAGAAAAAATAACAGTAAACTACTACTGTTTTGTCACCAATATACTTAACAAGGAAAGACTAACCATGGGTATAGATAACTATTTTCTACCTATAGAATTTGCTGGAGATTCCCCCATTATATCAGCAGTGGGACAGTGTATTGTAGCAAATGTGTTGTACAATGTTCGCAACTCATGCTTAACAGAATGCTGTACCTTTGACATTAGGTATTGTTCTATGTCTGCGTCCAATGCTTAACAGAATGCTACATAAGAAACACATTGAGATTAAAGAACAGACGTACAACACCAAATTGTTTGTTTCCATGACATCAGGCTTCAGCAGTGTAAGAGCAGCAGCAGCAACTTTATAGCAGCAAGAAAACTGAAAACTAGCAAATTGATGGACATTCCTTTGATCATCATCTACCGATTCATCTGGGAAACGTGTTGATGTTCATTGCTAGAAGCAGTACTACAGGCAAGCACATATCTAGAAATTCATTATGCCATGGAGAAATCCTTAACACAGACCAGCCAAATCTTCTTTTATCAATCATATAGTTCATGAACTATTTCACTTCAGCTGAAATGTTGCTGCCATTTTTTCTTTTTTTTCAAATATCATAGCGCACATTTCTCTCTAGTTTACTTTCCATCACTGAATAAAGAGCCAGCCAACCAGCCAGCCAGATAATGCCTTAGTTGTATGATGCCAGGTTGGAAACTGGCACGTCATTCCCCTCCGTGCTGCCCAGTAGAATGGCGAGTCAGTCCCCCATCAATAGCTAATTCTCTTCTGTAATTGTTACCAAAGATACCGTCGATATGTTTCACTTTAATTTATTATTATTATTATTATTTCACCTGTAAAATACCATTTGACAACAATTTGGGAAATGTGTGTACAGACATCAGCAGTTCTCCTCAACAAGAGTAATAAAATATGTGTAAAATTGGTACTAAAATAACAACACACTGAAGTCAAGGCCAATGCTAAACTAAAGTATTCTAGTCGACAGGTCATCTGCCCTTAGTTCAAATCATATCATAATGCCACACTCTTCCCCGGTGGCAGTGAAGGCTGAACAGCAGAACGTGACAGCAGCAGCAGCAGCAGCAGCAGCAGGAGGAGGAGCCGGTGCCACTGCCACCGCCGCCCCACCACAACATGAACTAGGAAGTCCATCTTGTGTATGGATTTGTACCTCACAGTCATGGAATCATAGAACATAGCAGCAGCAGACTGTAGATTTGCCATTCAGCAGAGTGTATGGTATAAATGCTTGGTGGAGGCCTGGCTTCAGAGATCTGTGAATCACCTGTAGATCCCGTCAGATGTGGGGGGATGCCCTAATGTCATGCAAACTCGCCCATTGAATAAAGTCCCATTTGGTGCGATATATTAGCTTCAGCCCGGTATGTTGACTGGTGTGGACCAGCTTTCTGAGGTACATTCTGTATTTACAGCAGGGATACAGGAACCAGGGTTCTATAAGGTAATACTGCTCTACACAAGATGGCCCGCACGCCCAGCCATATATGCGAGTAGTCCAGGTGTCCATGGAAGGAGGGGAGTCGAGGGATGAGGCTGTGCTGACTTATGTACAATGATAATATCCATAGTGTGGGGCACTGGCCACCTCACTGTGTGCTCTGCATCTTCAGCTGTCATGTGACTAGGTCACATGACTGTAGCACAAACACACACAGTTCATTCATTCACGATGTGAAAAGACAGATCACCATGTTATAATGTCCGTGCCTTCTGCAATAATTCGGTTACGAATTTCTGAAAGAGAACAAATGTACATGAATTATAGTGCAGACTAAACAAAATCACTAAACAAGATGATATCAACTCCTTTAATCATGGCTTAAATACTACAACTATAACTTGTACTCGTCCTCCTTCAGCCGACAGAATGTGTCACTGTGAAATGTGTCCGATTTCATCAAGAAGATTCACATTATATGGATGTACATGTTCATGTGGTCAAAATACTTACAAAAACATCAGCTTCTGGCTTTTTGGCATCTGTTAATTCTGACTGAAAAAAAGAAAAGTTATAAACTGTCACACATAGGTAAGCGTAAGTGTTAACACTACAACAACTAGCAACAGAACTGTATGTAAAACATCATTTGTTTTATTACACAGAAGTTACTAACACCTGTAGGATGTGTGTTTGTAAAATAACTGCATCCGAGATCAGAGATGATTCAGATCAAGGACATGTTTAAATTTCCATAGATACTGAGAAACGTATATTAGAAAGTGAAGTAAAATGCATAAACATGTGGATATCCACTGTCATGTAAGTGAAAGGATAATGATATTGACTATGCAGTTTGTATCCTCAAAACACCCATGAGAGTGCATCGCAGGTTTATGTAGCTAATTCCTGAGACAGGTAAATATCTTCCTAGTGGGTTTGTGTACGTAGATAACTCACAAGAGAGGGAGAAGGGTTAATATTGCCAAAGTGGGTCTATGTAGCTGTATGTAGTTAAATCCATGAGAGTGAGAAGGGTCAATATAGCAATGTCATTTAACAAATGTTATATGTTGATAATGCTCAGATATAAAGACTCTCGGACTGCTACTGACTCTGAAGGTATTTCAGGTCAGTTAACAGCCTTGGAATGCATGATGATTACCTACAATCTTTCACTCTGTTGGTTCAGCCTTTTAGAAAGGACATGAAAAGGTGTATTGAATGGCTGTAGGTATAGATACATACTCAGATCGCCTCTTGACCTACTTGCATTGTTGAATTCCTAGGGTGAACGATATACAACCCACTAACAAATGGCAATGAAATTCCTCATTTTGGCCAGTTTACCAATTAGGGAGCAAACTGTGCAGGGCTGGCATGATATACGATACCTAATATTATTCTGCATATCTATATACTGATCATACATATTGATATCACCTGTACATCCACTTAACAAGATTCTGTCAGTCTCCTTCATAAATCTAGTCAGTGCACTTACTACATACAGATCTACTGGTCTCGGGTTCACTTTACACATCTAGTCAGTCTCCTCCATTCACAAATATAGTCAGTATTCCTCTCCAATCCACACATTTCATCAGTACACTCGCCCCTTTACACACCTATTCATTCCATCATTTCCTCACCGATCTAGTAAGTTTCTCCCAAACTTCACAGATTGAGTATCATATATATTTTTGTGTAGTGTGTGTCCAAGCTTAATGCACAAGCCCCTGTTGATGAGTCAGTATTTTGAGCGTTATGTGAAGAAAAAATACATCATATCCTGGGCCTCCTTTCACAAAGCACTAAGGTGATCGTAAGTCACTAAGAAAACCTTAGTGCAATGTTAAAGAATGGGAGTTAAGGTTAACCTTAGTAAAGGTTGCTTCGTGAAAGGAGCCTCAGTAATGTAACTTCAAACAATTTTGATGCAATGATCGGAAGAATCATACCTAACAGTATTACTTTATCAAGAATAATATATTCCAGTACTGCGGTATGGTAGGTCATAGATTTTAATGAATACTGAAATAATATGATACAAAGCTATGGATGAATATATTTTAGAAATGGAACTACAGTGAGACCTTGGATATCCGGACACATTCGTTTTTACGTAAATCGTCCGGATAATTGAATATCCGGATATCTGGATTTTTGGTTTTCATACACCTCAAGGAAAATCCAAAACGTTTATGATCATCAAGCGTTTACATTCAAAAACAGCATCACAAAATAACAATCATACCTTTACAATTATTCAGTTTTGAATATCGACACACTGAACTTTTATTGCTTTGACTGAATAAACAACTTAACAGTTAGAACTCAATGGTTAACTCAGTGTCAGCTAAGCCTTCTAATCACCACCAATACCTTGATCCGGATTAGCAGACCATGTCTCGTGTCAAAACACGTGGGACTCTCACGCTTCCCATCACACAGTTAGCGGTGGTTTAAAGCTTCGTGCGGATAGGAGTGTCAATTTTGTGTTGTTTCAGCCGGTTTGTTAGTAAAATGTACCGTCCGGAAACAGAAACCGAATATCCGTCATAGACAGTCACTTTTAAAACGTAAGAGATTGGTTTTTCCTAAAAATTGACCAGAAGGTTAGGTTTCCGGAAATCTGGGGTCCGGGTATCCGAGGTCTCACTGTATTTGTCATGTCATCATCCATACTCAAGCTCAAAATAGCGAAAACATGTTCCGTGTTCACATACCATAGTCAGTCTGCAATAAATATGTCACCAATCAACAAGTCATGGTATAGTATTAGGATAAATGTATCTCTTCTCGGCTGTAAATAATGGTTTGGTGCACTGCTGATAATTTCACACACATAGGTAATTTTGAATAAATGAAATAAATTAAAAACATCCCTGCAGACATGAACACTGAGCAGATTGCATATCTAAGTTTTGATTTGTGTTCATATATCCACAGTTACATTTTCACAGCAGTGGCTCTGCATTGGGGTGAAAATGTCAAAATTCCTCATGACATGAATAATGTACACCCAACTCCACACTTTTTAGGAAACCTGTGTGCACTATGCTCAAGCAAATACGGTAACTCTTCACTACACCTCACTGATCTGTTCAAGTGCCTTTAGGCAAAACCAATCAGAGAGACATTGATTTAAGTTGTATACAGCAACAGCTCACTGTCAACATCATTACCATACACATCATGATATGAAGAGGTTCCTATATGCCACTATTGACCCAAACATAATCATTAAGTCCTATCCAAAACTTGCAATATGTTGGCTTGTGCCAGCAACTAATCCGCTACAGCCCATGTGTGAATGTTCCCAGACAGATTATGTTCCACCTGCTATGTATGTATATGATTTATTCCTTCCATAAATCAGAGGACAACAAAGTGTCCCACTCTGTGTGATTGTTCCCCAGATTAGCTCCCAGCAGCCATCATTAAACCTAGTGTGACACATACTCTAGATGATCAGGCCGTTTGCAACTGGATGACAAACAACCTAGGCTTTGTCTCCTCCAAGTGAATCACAATTGCTCAACAGTAGATGACTTGTATGATCAATGTTATGCTCTTCCCATGAAGACAGCGTGTGACTGACTCACTCCCACATTAAACATTCATAAAAAATCACTCCATCTTTGTTTTAAATATTGTGACATTCTGCATGAAATTCATGAGTTGGAAACTGAATTCAGTTACCTCTTTCATTCACTGAGATTAACATGCATCACAGGTCACCCAGTTAAGTGATGACTATCACATTTGAGGCTGCATATTGGACTGAATAACCCTTTAGTAACATGGAACTCTCCCATGAAAATCAGCGCGCCTGCCAGTAGGTCTGTGGCAAGTACATCTCGTGTCAGGCTTGCTGTATCAAAGTTGTACAAGGCCTACAGCCTGCATTAAAGACGTCTATTTCTTTGTCACAATCTGCTGCAGTTTTTAAACAGAGGAGTTTAGTCAGGGCCTGCAACTTGTAAAGACTGTGAGTCCAGATGGCAGCCTGGAAATATTGTTTCAGTTTCGAACACTGAAGCCTGCAGTAGATATGTTAGACTAACTGTAGACATGTGGCAACATACAAGCCCTGTAATGCCTGCATTTGTCGACAGTCCCACATCTGCTGACAACATTATCAATACCTCATAACTGCTCCCCAGTCAACTCATCCACACCTTTAGATCAATACTACTTTAGAAACTGGGCTGCTACAATACACAAGGAATTTACAATGAGTTTCAATAAATTTGCACTAGATGACTTGCAAAACTAGCCATTGTAGGATTCAATAAGTGATTGGAAAAGAAATGGAATACACTAGTAACTTCCTTGTTGCAAAGAAGTACCGTCTCTGCCTGGTAATGTTTGTTTAGGGTTATAGAGACTTTAAGCATTGCCTTTCCTCAACACATTGAATAAAATCTAGGAGCAACACAGCACAGGTACGAGGAGAATATTTCAGTAACACGACATTTCCCTGATGTGTGGACATTTTCCCTGATGTATGGACATTTCCCCTGATGTACGGACATTTCCCCTGATGTATGGACATTTCCCCTGATGTGGGGACATTTCCCCTGATGTGGGGACATTTCCCCTGATGTGGGGACATTTCCCCTGATGTATGGACATTTCCCCTGATGTGTGGACATTTCCCCTGATGTATGGACATTTCCCCTGATGTACGGACATTTCCCCTTATGTGTGGACATTTCCCCTGATGTCGGACATTTCCCCTGATGTGTGGACATTTCCCCTGATGTACGGACATTTCCCCTGATGTGCGGACATTTCACCTGATGTGCGGACATTTCACCTGAAGAATATTCCAGCCATATGGCGGCGGTCTGTATCGATCTGCGCCATTTGGAACCGATGACATGTGTCAACCAAGCCAGCGAGCCTGACCACCCGATCCCGTTAGTCGCCTCTTACGATAAGCATTGGTTACTGAAGGTTCATTCTAACCTGGACCTTCACAGGTACATTTCCCCTTATGTACAGACAATTTGCCCCAATCAATGAATGGTCATTAACCCAGAATCACAGACATTGACTTCAAACAGGAACTTTTACTTACTAATACGTATTCTCTTCTCTCACAATCATTGTCGAAATTTAAAACTTCTTCTAAGTCTAGCTTGCAATTATGATCCTCTTCAGCTTCCTGAAAATAAAACAGAAATTATGAGAGAAATTTCATTCAAATTGGTTATCACATTCAGATTTTAGGGCATGACTGACAACTATTGGTGTAACGATTCATCGATAGTATCTATGTTTGCATCGTTAAATATGCAATACGAGTGCATCAATACAGAACACATTTAGGCAATGTATCAGGATATTTATATCGCTAGGGTCCATGACACATTGATGTATCGCCAGAAGAGACGATATATCCCGACACAACTTAAATAATACTTAAAGTTGAAAGGAGTATTGCATTTAATAGGAATAGGAAGGGAGTCTCTTTGAAATTCTTCTGAATTTGAAAAACAAATTGAATCTTATAGGAATTTCTTTGTGCCTACTATCGTTGTTACATAAACAAAGTAGATGTATAAGTGAAAGAATGTGAACATTTTTCTCAAACTCTGTGAACTGTAAGAATACTTGTCTTCAAGTAACTGAAATATGTTTCAGTTGTTTGACAAATAACACCATTTATTAACAACTATGAACGATGTCTTAGCTTTGTTAAGAAAGAGAACAAAGAGAAGATAAAATTTAGACAGCATACTTAGAGTTTTTTTCAGTGATTCTGAATTCTGATATAAATTACACTGAATTGTTTGTGAAAGCATTGTTGCAGAAACACAACTTCCCAAGGGAAACTTCAGTTTCAAATTTATATATATTAGATCAAGGTGTACTGAATATGTTTGACTGTACTTTCTTAAGCATCAAATACTGAAACTTTATTAGATGAACAGCTTTTTAAGTGTGTGTGAATGTAACACAAGTTCTGCTGTATAACAATAAAGTTAGTCATTTTATCTATCATATATGTTCTGTTATTAGAAATTGTAAAGTATCGGGATACATATCATATCGTCACCATTATATTGTGATGATAATCGTCTTGCAGGTTTCTTGCCAATACTTTCATAATATATCGTCTCGCCTCATTAAACTGGTATCGCGATATATGGTCTTGTCACTTGGGAAGCAATACACAGCTCTACTGACAACAATTCCATTAATACTTTTCACCACGTCCAACCACTGGCCTAGACGTCAACTGAGTGCAAATTTGATAATGAGAACTTTGACAATAGTGGTGTGAAGGAAGGTCATTTCTGGATGTGAACTGTCTCTGATGACACGATAAATACAGACACTGTTATGCTGACAGTACTCACTAGATTATCAAAGCTCTTTGTAGCACGTGAAGGATAAAATGTTTTAAGTGAAATCATCAGTCAAGTACAGATTGAGTTGTTCTTTAATTTGATGAGGTTGCTGTGATGTCAGACTTATCAATGTAATAATCTTATTTATATCATATGATATCAATGATATATTTAAAGTATACCTGCATTTGGTAAAGCAGCTGTGGAGGTTTAAGATGTCCTCATTCTTCCAGTATGTCAACAATGATGACGTTGGTACAAAACATTTCTCACTTCTCGAAAACAGTCAGTTCTAATTTGATTAGTATTTCATCTACAAGCAAAAAGCACTTGATTACCCGGAAAAAATAGGAGATCATTGTGCAACACATGCCCCAAAGTAGAAATGAAGTAAATGGTAGCAGAAGACACAGTAAATTGTCAGATACAACTCAGTTATTGGTAAAAGATGGTGTAGTTAATGGTCAGGCATGACAACTTAATACTCAGGTATGATGCAGTTAATGGTCAGAGAAGATGCAGTTATTGGTCCCAGATGATGCCAATTAATGGTCAGGTATGACAACTTAATAATACTCAGGTATGATGCAGTCAATGGTCAGAGAAGACACAGTTATTGGTCACAGATGATGCCATTTAATGGTCAGGTATGATAACTTAATACTCAGGTATGATGCAGATAATGGTCAGAGAAAACACCGTTATTGGTCAGAGATGATGCCAATTAATGGTCAGGTACAACAGTGAGTGAGTGAGTGAGTGATTTAGTTTGACGCCGCATTCAGCAATATTCCAGCTATATGGCTGCGGTCTGTAAATAATTGAGTCTGGACCAGACACTCCAGTGATCAACAGCATGAGCATCGATCTACGCAATTAAGAACCGATGACCTGTGTCAACCAAGTGAGCGAGCCTGACCACCCGATCCTGTTAGTCACCTCTTACGACAAGCACAGTCGCCTTTTGTGGCAAGCATGGGTTGCCGTTAGGTACAACAACATAATACTCAGGTATGATGCAGTCAATGGTCAGAAAAGACACAGTTACCGGTCACAGATGATGCCAATTAATGGTCAGGTATGACAGCTTCATAGTCAGGTATGATGCAGTTAATGGTCAGGTATAACAACTTAATACTCAGGTATGATGCAGTCAATGGTCATTGATGATGCCAGTAAATGGTTACAGATGACAAAGTTACTGATTACAGATGATGCAGTTAATAGTGGAAGATGATGACAGTAACAGTCCGACAGATGTAGATTCCGAGTGAGAATTTACGTCCCAACAACCATGCCATAATATGCCACCAGATGGATCATATTGGTTAAATCTTTTATGTAATTCTCAGCATCAACATACAGGCTAAAAAAATGCATCTTGTGGTTGTGATTCTGGTGAGTGCCGGAACGGGGTGGCATGATGCAGGGACAACCATCTGTTGGGGCCATGTTGGAGGCAGCTTCAGGAAGTAGAACACAATGGCTGCGCTAGAGGGCCATGTGCTGCTGACATTGTGCTACAGGCCAGACAACTAGTTCCATATGCAACAGAGGATGTAGGTACCTGCACAATAGCCGGGAGGAAGCTAAACGTCAATGTAATGTGTTCTCAAATGAACCAGTTTCGGGATGTTGAATGCCTAACCACTTTTCATAACTGCATCTCAACAAATCTGCATGTAATAGTTGCAGCAGTACATGATACAATGTCAGGCCACATGTTGCTGTCAATGTGGCCAAGCTGCAATGCTAAACAAATAACAGAAAGAAAGTCCTACCAAAGCTGATCTCATAACTTACAACAAGAGGGGGAAAGAGATCATATGAGTAGTTACACTGGAACATTAAACCATTGTAATGTGTCCGTTAACTAAAAAGCATCAGCGAAGAAAAAGACAATCCCAAGTGTCACTAATGAGGGTGAATAAATTACACTTATTTGGTCTGAAGTGTGTGAACAGGCCTGTCCATGCATACTGCTTTCTACAAAAGAACCTTTAACCCATATACCTGTTTGTAAAATATATTCAGAAATTGGGCTGCAGATAAAGTGATGCCTGTTTATAAAATCATCAACAACAGTATGTATTCAATTACATTGTATCAAGAATCAATACCTCATGAACAACCTTCTTTTTTTTAAATAAATGACTTCATTCCCTTATTTCCAGGAACTATCTCTATAGTGGATCATCTAGACAACTTATATTCTCAAAATATTGTATGTAATGGTATTTACAATCAAGCAATTCCAGACCAAGATCCTGTTAGTGTGCACACAATGTCAACCCTTCATCACACCAACATCATCATGTCGGCCTCCCTCTCTCACCAGGTGATAGATCATAGCCTTACAGTTCTTGCACTGGCGCACATATATTCTTGGCAGGAGACCTACCATACCTTTTGATAGCTGGTTTAACTCACTTTCAATTGATAGTAGTACAACTGCTCTGTGAGGCTTGATCTAATGAATGTCATTCTTTCAATAGCCTACAGTACAACTGTGTACTCTCAACACAAAGTGTGTATCGTGCAGATAGCAACTTGCTAAAGCAAAGGACCAAAGTCAAGGCTACACATGCAATCATGGCAGTTGTGTCAACTATCTGATTATGCAGGTCAGGTTATAAGAATGGGATATGACATGATAGTGTGGAAAATAAAGTTTGAAGTCACTTAATTATTTATATAGTTCCTAAGACAATAACTAAAATGTGCAGAAACATGGGTACCTGACACTGACTAGGTGTGCCTCCACTACACACCCAGATTTCACATGTTCCACTGTAGCCTGGACTGTGCCAGGTGTTGACATACACACAAACTGACACTATCAACACACCTATTCATTATACCAACCTCCACACAGTAATTGGACAATAATCACATATCTGATAAATAATTAACAAAAAGGGCATTAATAAATCAAAACAACATCTTAAGTTTATCTAGTTTCACAACTATCTCCATATGATCCTGCTTTATTCATGGAAGAGAGGTGTGTAATGAAATAAGTCTATGGGAAACAGTCCCAATCATCATGATCAAATTCATGCAGAATATTCAATGACAGTATATTACTAAATGAGTGACTGCTGCTTTCACAAAACATCCAAACGTAGATATCTGTACGGAAATGATAATATCCTGTAACTACCCTGGCTACATACCACACACTATAATCTCCTGTCACTACCCTGGCTACACACTATAATCCCCTGTCACTACCCTGGCTACACACCACACACTGTAATTCCCTGTCACTTCCCTGGCTACACACTACAATCCCCTGTCACTACCCTGGTTACACACCACAAACTATAATCCCTGGCTACACACCACACACAATAATCCCTGTCACTACTCTGACTACACACTATAATCCCCGTCACTACCCTGGCTACACATCACACACTATAATTGCTGTCACTACCCTGGCTACACACCACACACTATCATCCCTGGCTACACACCACACACAATAATCCCTGTCACTACTCTGACTACACACTATAATCTCTGTCACTACCCTGGCTACATACAACACACTATAATCCCTGTCACTACCCTGGCTACACACCACACACTATAATCCCTGTCACTACCCTGGCTACACACCACACACTATAATCCCTGTCACTAGCCTGGCTTCACACCACACACTATAATCCCTGGCTACACATCACACACTATAATCCCTGTCACTACCCTGGCTACACACCACATACTATAATCCCTGGCTACACATCACACACAATAATTCCTGTCACTACTCTGGCTACATACCACACACTATAATCCCTGT